GGTTGCTGTGAGCGTGATGCCATGGCACTCTACCCAGGGGTATAGCTTGAGGCTCCGTCTCAAAAAAAAAAAAGAATTAGCAAGGCTGATGCGGAGCCTGAGATTGTGTTTCTTTTTTTTTTTTTTCTTTTCTTTTTTTTCTATTGAATGGTAACTATGTACATTAATGCACTTCTGGGGTACAGTGTGGGGTTTTCACATGCAATCTGAAATACTTCCATCAAACTGGTCAACACAGCCTTCTCTTTTTTTTTTCTGACACAGCCTCAAGTTGTCACCCTGAGTAGAGTGCTTTAACATCACAGCTCACAGCAACCTCCAACTCCTGGGCTTAAGTGATTCTCTTGCTTCAGCCTCCCAAATAGCTGGGACTATAGGCGCCCACCACAATGCTCAGCTATTTTTTGGATGTTATTGTCACTGTTGTTTGGCAGGCCCAGGCTGGATTTTAACTTGTCAGCTCTGGTGTATATGGCTGGTGCCTTAGCCACTTGAGCTACAGGTGCTGAGCCTGAGATTGTGTTTCTATCCAGCTTTCAGGTGATGTTGAGGTTGCTGGTGTCCATAAACCACACTCTGATTAGCAAGGTCAGAGAAGTGGTTCCTGAACTCTGTATATCACAAACATCTATGGAGCTAATTAATCTTTGACCCGTCTGTTGGTGACCTGTGATTCAATAGGTCAGTGGGACAGGTATGTGTTCAACAAGTTCCCCGGGTGATTCTGACTTACAGTTTCAGAATCACTACCTTAGAAGTCAACTGGTCCAATCTTTGATTCCATTCAAGAATCTCTTTGGGATTACAGGAATCAATTTCTACAAAGAGGAAAAATTAATCTGGTATATATAGTCAATATCTTAGTCAACTTTGTCAAGTATGGTAGGAACTCAGTAGGTGTTTGTATACTGAGGAATATACAAACTCTAGGAAACTAATAAATTCAAGAGCTGTCACTCTATTTGAACTGAGTTATAATCTGCCCCACTACAATTTCTTCCAGTTGACACTGATTTAGGCTTTCTGGAGACATATTGAACTTAATCTGCTTGATAGTCCTTGAAATACCTGAAAACAGTAATTATGTCCATGTCACATCTTCAGCACTGTATGAAGATAAAGACAGAGACAGCTCTAGAGCTGTCTATGTACATAAAAGGAGACTTCCATTTCCAGGCTTTTTCCTATCCTGGTTGCCATGCACCAAAGTACTTTCACTTCTAAGTCTTTTTTTTTTTT